TAAGGGAAACATGCAGTTTATTTGAAAAGACTGTAACTTTTCCCCATGTTTCTTTTAAACTAATTACAAAGAACTCAGAGATGCTCTGAGCCAAGGGATGTAGGAAATTCTGTGAATGAACATGACTTATTTTACATTCTCACACCTGCATTCTACATGTAGGAAATGGAAAAATGGGATTTTAAACATGGGATTTTAGCCTCCAGGTAAGGAACTGTATGGCTCCTGAAATCATCCTGTGGACAGATGAATCTTTAGAAACCAAAAAGTGGCTCAGATTACTACCATTTGCTTCACAAAATTGCCTGCTTGAACAAACAATCCAACTCTTTTACCATGCTCTATAAGTCTCAAACCATTATGGTTTGGAAACAATGCACATGAGACCGTGACAGCAATAATCACTTCGAATGAATGAATAAAAGAAAGCAAGATATTGTGTTTTTCCCAGGCAACATTTAAATGCAAAATCTTTCATCTTAGATGCAGTAAATACCACAGAACCCAGTAGATAAAGATGATGTCCCAACTCTCAAAACCATACCAAAAGGCGTGGGAATGCCACTCAGGCAGGCAGCTGAGACAAGGACTGTGGGTAAATGCTGCAAGCTCATCATTGCTCAGAAATCTTGGCATGTCTGAGTTATGTTACTGCCTAACTATCTTTTAGATATATTTAGTGATGCCTAATATACTAGTAAATTTCCAAACAGAACCACAAAATGGATAATTTAGGGTAATTCCATGCCTATAATTTTGTTTTTTTAAAAAAAGTCTGGTCCATTAGTCACTTCTATCTTTGTTTAACACCTTTCCCTTTCCTATTCACCGTCTGGTGCAGGTGTTAATGAAATTTGAAATGACTAATGGACCAAAAAAAGGCCTGGAAAATCTATCAAATGGATATTATAATCAGCCTCCACACAATCTAACTTAAATGTTACTCGATAGGCGTAGAGCAAGAACTAGAAAAACCAGAAAAGACATTCCACAAAAAGCAAAAAGGAGAGTGATTATAAAGTTCAATTCTCTGGTAAACCAGAAATTAAAGACTTACTCACGCGAGGTGAATTAACATTACAATGGTTATCTTCTGAATAATTCTCTAAGCCTGCCTCAGAGAGGTAGGAAGTCACCTGTCATGGATGCTTATAGCCACTTGAGAAAAGGCTGTAATGGGCAAGGAAGACTCTACAGTTTCCATGGTTCTTACAGACACAGATACACGTGTCTACAGACACAGAGCTCACCTCTAACAAAGAGCTTTAGCTAATTAGATAAGGCTTGCTCATACCTTATAGGACCCTAGGTTCTGTTTTGGCTTTGTTTCTGCCCTCCTGCCTCAAGACAGAGATCAGTTTCTGCTTTCATCAGTGTTCCCTCAAGCATCTCTAGATGGCTCCAAGTTAAGGTCCAGAGAAAGTTAGGCGTTCTCTCTCCCCTCTGTAAGGTCCTGTTTGCAGGGCTAATTTCCTATTCCAACGCCATCTCCCTCCACATGAAAGACAGGGCCTGTCCTAGGGTCTCAGCAGGATTTGCGTTTGGGGACAAAACAGTAATCTTCACCTCTGTTGCGGAGAGATATATAGAGGCATGGGGTCATTATCTTATGTTCTCCAAACCCCGTGGCCTCACCTGTGGTGTCTCGCCTCCCGCTTCCACCACAAAATCTCTGTGCAGTCAGTTCATACGAGCGTTTGCGAATGTCCAAGTCACCACATATTCTGCATACTGTTCCTATTGCTGTCTCCTTTCTCCCTAGCACCTCTCCATCTATATAGATTCTACACAAAATGCTTTCCCCAGTAGAGGCCAGGTTTAGTATTTAGAAAGAATTTCAGGGATATACAGAAAACATCATCTATTTTTCTAAGGATGTACCATGGTCGATATTTACTAGAGAAAATTCTTTTAACGTTTTATTGATCAAAGACATAAACTCTTGATTAATCATATTTCAGCTGCTCAGGAATATGTAAATAGCGACACAACCAAATCTTGCCTGAAAATCTATAAAACCTTGCCCCTTTACCCTTTATCCCTCACAGACCCTTCTCCCACAGTTGCACTTCCTACTTTTAGCTTTTGCTTCCCAGAGGACCGGAGCGGCCACAAACGCTGAGATCATCACTGTTCATTTGTTTGGCATGATTAGTTGACTTCATAAAAGGAGTATTGACTTGATTCAAATATTTATCTTACTTTAATATTAAAGGAATAAAGATTGTTCACTGAAAACCAATTTTCTTGGAAATCTCAACCTGGGTGATTTTAATTAGGTGACTGATGTTTGGGGGGACTGATTCTCTAGATTAAGACCCTGATGGAGGTTTTCATCAAGGCTGCAAATGGAAGACATGCCATATAAAGAAGTGAAGCAAGAAAGAATATTACACACAGAGGAAACTAGAGATACAATACAGGCTGCCAGTAGGATGGTGGGGTCAAAGCATAGGAGTGATGTATAGCTTTGCCTGAGTCAGGCTGGGAAATCAGTGCCTGACATCAGACTTCTCATATATGTCTGGTGTATCCATTTTCTAGGGCTGCCGTAACATATTGCCACAAATTGGGTAACTTAAAACAACAAAAATTCATTCTCTCACTGTTTGGGAGGCCAGAAGTCTGAAATCAAGGTGTCATTGGGTTGTTCCCTTTTTGGGACCTCAGATGGAGAATCTGTTCTAGAACTTTCTCCTAGTTTCTAGTGGTTGCCAGCAATTCCTGGCATTCCTTAGCTTGTGGTAGCCTAACTACACTCTCTGCCTCAGTTGTCACATGACATTCCCCCTGTGTTTCTGTATCTCTGTGTCCAAATTTGCCTCTTCTTCTAAGGACAACAGTCATATTATATTTAGGACCCACTTTAATCCAGCATGACCTCATCTTGATTACATCTGCAAACTATTTCAAAAAAGGTCACCTTCACAGATTGAGTGGACATGAACTCGGGGGAGGCACTATTCAACCCAGTATAGCTGGGAACTTGAGTGATTAAAAACTAGCCTTTAGATTGGTGTCATAAGAGATGAAAAGGCATTTTCACTGCTCTCTTTATCACATAATCCATATCCAATGTTAGGAAATACCACTGTCTCTACCTTCAAAATATATCCAGATTGCAACCACTTTTCACTGCCTGCATTGCTACCACACTCATCCAAGCTGCCATCACCTCTCATCTGGATTACCTGCAAGTCTCCTCATAAGTCTTGCTATTGCTGTTTGTCTTCAATCTACTTAGAAGGATCCTGCTATAGTGTCAGACTATATCCCTCCTCCACTCAGAATCCTTAAAGACCCTCCATCTCAGAGTAAAGGCCAAAGTCCATACCAGGACCTACAAGGCCTCTCCTACTCTCCAGGTTCATCTCCTGCTCCTCTTACTCTCAGCTACTAATGGCTTGCTCCCTGTTCCTTAAGCTGGGCAGGCACAGTCCTGCCTCAGGGCCTTTGCACTAGCCATTTCCTCTGTCAGAATACTCTTCCCCAGAGACTCATGTGCTAGCTCCCTCATTTCCTTCAGATATTATTCAAAAGTGAATTCCTGGAAACTATCTATGGTGACAGATATTAACTAGATTTATTGTGATCATGTCACAACATACACAAGTATCAAATCATTATATGTTGTGCAACTGAAACTGATACAATGTTATGTGTCAATTATACTCAATTAAAAAGACAAGTTCATAGAAGAGTTTTTTTTTTAAGATTTTATTTATTTATTTGAGAGAGAGAGAGAGAGAGCACATGCAAGCATGGGGTGGGGCAAAGGGAGACAGAGAATCTCAAGCAGACTTCCCGATGAGCATGGAGCCCAATGCCTGGGCTTGATCCCAGCACCCCAAGACCACGACCTGAGCTGAAACCAAGAGAGTCAGATGCCCAACCGACTGAACCACCCAGCCGCCCCAAGGAGAAATTTTTCTAAATACTATTATTATATTATATATTATACTAATATCAGTGGAAAAATAAAAATTATACATTACAAAAAAGCAGATTCTTCTGTGAGGATTTCCACTGACACCACACTTAAATTTCAATCTGTCACTCTGACACCTCACAACCCCATTCCCTGCTTTACTTTTTTCATTGATATAATTAACATGTAACATTGTATTAGTTTCAAGTGTATAACATAATTAGATATTCCCTGCAAAATGATCACTACAATAAGTCTAGTTAACATCATCACCATACATAGCTACAAAATTTTTTGTCTGTGATGAAAACTTTTGAGATCTACTCTCTTGGCAACTTTCAAATATACGATATTAACTATAGTCACCATGCTGTATATTACATCCTATGACTTATTTATTTTATAGCTGAAAGTGTGAAGTATGTATTTTTTTAACCGCCTTCATTCTGCATACCGCTCTCCCACCTCTGGCAACCACTAGTCTGTTCTCTGTATCCATGAGCTCTTTTTTTTTTTCCCAACTCCACATGTGAGATAATATGCTATCTTATCTTTCTTCTTCTTATTTCATTTAGCATAATATCTCCAAGGTCCATCCATGTTGTCACAAATGTCAAAATTTCCTTTTTTATAGCTGAATTTTATATACACACACCACATTTTATCTATTCATCCATTGATAGACACTTACGTTGCTTCCACATCTTGGCTATTGTAAATAGTGTTGCAAAGAACATGTGGGTTCAGATATCTTTTCAAGTTAGTGTTTTGTTTTCTTCAGGTAAATACCCAAAAGTGAAATTGCTAGATCATATGGTATTTCCATTCGTAAATTTTTGAGGAAACTCCATACTGTTTTCCATAGTGGTGGCAGCAATTTACATTCCCACCAACTGTGCAAGAAGGTTCCCTTTTCTCCACATCCTCACCAACACTGGTTATTTCTTATCTTCATGATAACAGCCATTTTAATAGGTGTGAGGTGATCTCACTGTGGTTTAATTTGTATCTCTCTAATGATTAATGATGTTGAGTATCTTCTCATGTACCTGTTGGCCAACTGTCTTCTTTGGAAGAATGTCGATTCAGGTCCTCTCCCTTCCCTGCTGTATTTTGTCCTTAGCACATATCACTGTCTAACACACTATATATTTTACCCATTTATTTTCTGTTTCCCTAAAGTCCAAGGGAAACTCCACAAAGCAAGCAATCTTGTCTAATCGGTTTACTGCTGTTTTGAATAGTGCCATGCACATAGCAAGCACTCAAAACATATTTATTGAATGACAGAATTTCTTAGAATAGTTTATATTACCCCAATCAAAGGAAAGAATCGGTGTAAAAGGGAGGGGAGGAGGGGAGAAACAGCTAAAGAAAATTCTAACGAATAAGAGCTATAATTATAGCTTTCATTTATTATGTCTTCTTTCAATCATTTATTCACAATTTTCTAATTGCATTCTTGATGAGTATCTGGGTTTAACAAAAAAGGAGTGAATGCACTAAGCAAAGTTTGTTTCTTATTCACGAGGTTCCTCTTTTGATTTTGCGTCTTTACTCTCCTGGACTCCTAAGAGAATTGCATCCGCTTCTAGTATAGTTGTATCTGCAGTCGCTCCCAGGAATCTAGATGTAAGTTCAAGATCTAATAGCCGCAGTCGGACTCTGGTTCCCTTCTGGTATTTCCTAAATAGTAAGAAAAACAATTCCATAAATTCTGCATATCACAATATGAACAACTAGTTTAAGGTAAAACTCAAATTCTAATTTTAATGTGGTGGCTCAAAATAAAGAAGTTAATACATCTTTCTTTTTTTTTTTTTAAACTTTATACCAGTATCTGAGAAATAGTTGTTTTTGACAGAAAAGTAATTTAGATGTATCAGAATTTTTATCTTAAGGTGACTCTTAAAGATTTTATAAGCAAAATAAAAACATAGTCCAAACCAAAATTCAAACAAGTCAATTCTTGAGATTGACATTTATTTTAATATGTCATTCATTTTTTAAAACCAGAGAGTGAAATCAAGGGGAAAAAAAAAAGATTTTCAGATACATTTTTTTCTTCTAAAGTTAAAAATCTTCTTTTAAAGTAAAGGAAATTGTACAAAAGCAAAATGGGAAAAAGTCAAAATGTGAAGCTTAGCGCTGGGGCTTGACCACACTGTAATTAGTGTAATGACAGCCATAACATGCACGATGGCTCACTTTGGTCAATAAAATCATATTTTACGATACCAAATGAAAACCTAAACTCATTTGCCTTCTTCCCTGATCAAGTATTTTAAGAGTGCAATACCAACATTACGAAAAGGTGCAGGAGAATGAAAATATTGCTACTGATTGAAATCCAAAAATCTTTAAAGATCTAAATATACAGGTATACCTTGTTTCATGTGCTTCCCTTTGCACTTTGCAGATACTATGATTTTTACAAAGATTTGTGGCAACCCTGTGCAAGGGAATGTATTGCTGCCATTTTTTCAATAGCATTTGCTCACTTTGTGTCTCTTTGTCGCACTTTGGTAATTTGCACAATATTTCAAACTTTGTCACTACTATTACATTTGTTGTGGTGATCTGTGATCAGTGATTACAACTGGTTGAAAGCTCAGACGATCGTTGCAGTTTTTAGCAATAAAGTATTTTTCAATTAAATTATATGCAGCTAACCTTTCAGTAGGGTTTGAACCGCACAGTCGACTTATATGTGGATTTTTTCCAAGAAATACAGTACAGTACTATAAATATATTTTCTATTCCTTATGATTTTTCTCAATAACATTTTGTTTTGTTTTTGTTTTTGTTTTTTTTTAGAGAGAAAGAGTAAGTGCAAGCAGGGGAGGTGCAGAGGGAGAGGAAGAGAGAGAATCTTAAGCAGGCTCCACACCCAGAACAGAGCCCGAGGTGGGGCTTGATCTCACGACCCTGAGATCATGACCTGACCTGAAACCAAGAGACAGACACTTAATTGACTGAGCCACCTAGGTGCCCCCAATAACATTTTCTTTTCTCCAGCTTATTTTATTATAAGAATACAGGATATATAATACACATAACATACAAAATACATGTTAATTGACTATATTATCAGTAAGACATAGGACTTCCAGTCAACAGTATGCTACTGGTAGTTAAGTCTCTGGGGAGTCCAAAATTATACACAGATTTTCTACTGAATGGGGGCTAGCGCTCCTAACTACTTCATCGTTCAAGGGTGAATTGTACATTGCTTTTTTAGACACAATGCTATTATTGCACACTTAGTAGGCTAAAGTATAGTGTAAACATAACTTTTATATGCACTGGGAAATGAAAAAATTCATTTGGCTCACTTTATTGCAATATTTGCTTCATTGTGGTGGTCTAGAACCAAGCCTGCATTATCTCTGAGGTATGCCTGTGCACTTTGAGTATTCTAATTTTAAAATTAAATAATTTTACATAAATGAAAAGTAAAGAAACACAGTTCTCCAAAAAAGTCACTGGAAAAGGAATTTTGTAGGACATATAACGAGTAGTCTCCACACGATGTTTGATTAGGTGTTCTGAAGGAATTTATAAATGGTCCATTAAGTAAACATGAAGGCTATTCAGTTTTTTTTTTTTAAGATTTTATTTATTTATTTGACAGAGAGAGCGAGAGCCCAAGCAAAGAAATCTGCAGGCAGAGGGAGAAGCAGGCTCCCCGCTGAGCAGGGAGCCCGATGCAGGACTCGATCCCAGGATCCTGGGATCATGACGTGAGCCAAAGGCAGATGCTTAACCAACTGAGCCACCCAGGCGCCCCAGGCTTGGTTTTTTTAAAAACATATTTTTCTTTCTGATTGTAGAGGCAAACGTTCTTTTGTAAAACTGTAAAATAGTGAAGTCAGTCATATTTTCGAGTCCTTCTATATGTATATTTACATGTATGTATACATGAGTGTGTATTTGACAGCACAGATCTTACTTTCTATCTTTGTTTAAAAATTTGAAGAGATATCCTAGAATATTAATTGAGGCATAGCTTTATATTCTTAGAAAACAGCAATTATAAGACATATTCTATTATGAATTAACCACTGGGAAAATAAGGTTAGTGCATAGACAAGGTAAGACTGAACACTATTTTCTATATTACTTGGAACTATGTTCTAATAGATTCTTTCATTTGTCCTTACAGCATGACTCAGAGTAATTCAACCAATCAGCTTTGATTCATGTTGACCCCTCCTCCCCTCCTTTCCTGCAACATCCAGTTAGCAAGTTTAGTTTATTTCTTTAACAGATATTTCTTGAACTTAACCCTTCAAGTCTCGTCACCTCTTAGCTGAAGCTTGAGGTCTGATGTGATCTTCTCAGAGCCCACATTTCTAGCCCACTTCTCAAGATGGGCTCCATATCGTGGCCTAATGTCCACTCCCACATACTTCTATTCCTCTGTCCCTCTGTACCTTTGCTTCTATTGCCAGCACTGCTTGAACTTATCATCTAGCCCACTGATTCTTCAGTTCTAGGCAGAACTGGTTACATCAAATGCAGCTCCCGAGAACCTTGTCGTAATGAAGAGTCTGTCACTGGAATTCCCATGGAAGAAAGAGGTTCTGCAGTCATAGACTTAATGTAAATCTGAGCCCTGCTACTTACTAGTTGGGTAATCCTGGGTAACTTGCTTTCTCTGAACCACAATTTCCTCATCTACAATGACAGTGATTCCAACTACTTTGCAGGTGAAGGTTAAATGGGATAATATGTTGAAAACACTTAGCATATGACTGGAAATGTCAGCGCCCCTCACATACTTGTGTTGGTTATCTGTATAAGTCTCGGATTTCTCATTAGTCTGTATGCTCCCCCAAGATCTGGCACTGTTATTTATCTCTGTATCCTTCCAGTACTGATGCAGCAGGTACTCAAATGTCTGTCAATAAATTAATATGATAAAAGCTACCAGGTCATCAATGTTCTAGAATTTCTATTTTCTTGGCTTTAGCAGCTCTGTGGACTGGTACATTTACTTAACCTCTCTGAAATTTGCCTGGCACTGTGCCTAGCATATAGTGGTTAATAAATGTTAGTTTTCTTCTTCCATTGTTCAATTGTTGGCTTCTTTCTTTTTATTTAGTTTTAGGAGTATTACTCATCGGTAGATTATAAACTAATCATGAGGAGATGAACAGTGACTTTTTATAAAAACAGTTGAACATGTCACAAACACTAGAGACAAAAAATTCTGGGCAAAATCATAGTAAAGAAGAAGTTTGCAGTTTAAGTGGTTCTGTAAATGATAAAAATCTCCAATTAAAATAAAAACAGAAACACCATGAGTGCCCAGTATGTTTGGTAATTTATGGAGGGCAAAAGTTTGTTCCCATTTTTAGATGTGGTGGCCTTTTCTTTTTTTTTTTAAAGATCTGTTTACCTATTTTAAAGAGAGAGAAAACGAGTGGGAGGGGGAGAGGGAGAGAGAATCTCAAGCAGACTCCGCACTGAGGACAGAGCCCGACACAGGGGTCGATCTCATGACCCTGAGATCACTGCCTGAGCTGAAACCAAGGATACGACACTTAACCAACTGTGCCACCCAGATGCAGTAGCTTTTAATGATTTTAATGCTTTGCCTTCATCTCTAAAAAATAAGGAAATTCTGGGAATTACCCAGTGAGATGGAAACGGGAGATGAAAAGCAAACTGCAGGCCTTTATGTGTGTTGAAAGAATTATCCAAATATACGCATTGTGCACTACATAAAACAGAACAAAACAAAACCTTTAAAAGATTCTCTTATGCTATCTAGAGTAGCTGTTTCTACTTTTATGGTACTTCATTTTTACTCTGTATTCTTACAGTTAATTCCATGTGTTATCTCCTTTATCAGACGATAAGATCCTTAAGGGTGGGGATTTCATATCTGTCTCTTACAGTACCATGACGACATTTCACATAATGTAGCCTTCTGAACAGTGGTTTTCACACTTTCCGGTATCAGAAACACCTGGGGTACTGGTTAAAAATGCAAATAGAGGGAAGCAACCCTGAGTGTGAGGTGGCAAATCTGAGCTGGAACTTAGGAATTTACCTTTTTAGCAAGCTTCTCAGGTGATTCTGACTCAGGCTCCTCTGGTCACCACTTGAAAAAAATCTGGCCTAGAATTATGTTTATTATATACAGTCAAGTGCAGGAGGACAGGACAGTCTACATAAATACAAAAGGCCAGTAAAATGAGGACCTGTGACAAAACTTTGTGGCCACTATTAACAAGCTTCAAGAGTAACAGATGTTTTCCATAAGTGGCAACAGTCTTCTAGGGTAATTTAGATAGGTTAAAAAAAAAAGAAAGAAAAGAAAAAAAGAAAGTCAGGAATGTATAATGGAGAAATGCACCTAAAAAGAGTTCCCTGAACAAAGCCCACTGATGGCCTGGAGTGGGGCTGCCTCCCCTGCACTCAAGACTGTCCGTTCTGGAAAATCCAGGACATGGAAAGGTCAGCATACTTCTCCAACAGAAATAGCAGCATACAATTAATATGGAGTTTATCCTTGCTTTAAGTTTGAAACGCTTTTTAAAGAAAAAAGAAGGGCGCCTGGGTGGCTCAGATGGTTAGGCGTCTGCCTTCGGCTCAGGTCATGATCCCAGGGTCCTGGGATCGAGTCCCGCATCGGGCTCCCTGCTC